ATTTTTGTATGTATTTTCATTTTACGGATTCAAAGAATCAGACATTTGATCGTAAAATAATTAGTAGTTAATTGAAATAAGAAAATGTACCTCGCTTAAATGATCTGTGGTTTCTCCTAATGACTCAGAATGCTGAGATAAAGGATGCGCTAACAAAACACTTCTTCATAGACTGCGTGTAAAATAAAACCAAAATGCAACAAAGTTAAAAAGCAGAAAAAGAAAACAAAAAATAAATAAATAAACAAAGCTTTTGAGAGAAGAAAACACATAGGAATTTAATTAAAAAATTATACCTGTTGGCATAAAACTTGTGCTTCTTTAATTTGTGGGTTTTGAGAAGATAAAAAAAATGCAGATAGCTGAATATGCACTGGAATTTACCAAGATAATGTTGCAATCTGCAAAAGAGAATACATAGCAGCATGAGATGGTAAGTGGATACCAAAATACCCACTCAAAAAAAAAGGGAGGCAATATTATTGTATTTTTTTTATTATACCAAAATACCCACTCAAAAAAAAAAAGGGGCATTATTATTGTGTATTTTTTTATCATTACATATTCAAAAAATGAGACATAAATTAGTCATAAAATAGTTATTAATTAATTGAAAGAAGAAAATGTATTTCGCCTCCAAATGACCCAGAATGACGAGAGAAAGGATGTGTTAACAAAAACTTCTTCATGAATCAGGCCTTCAAGCCCAATGATTCGACCTCAAGCCTTAGTGCTTGGATGAGGTGGTATTCAGAACTTCGAGCTTTATCACCGTCGTAAATTTCACTAAAAAGCGACTCGATGACTGTACATCTCATTTGAGAGGGTGAAATGTTCACCTAATTTAAAAAATTTCAGTTGCTAATGTCTAACTCATACTAATTTCTTAACCATTATCTTGTAAAAAAAAAAAAAAAAACTTCTTCACAGATTGCGTGTAAAATGAAAACCAAAATGCAAAAAAATTACAAAGAAGAAAAAGAACAAATATTTATGTATATAAAAAGCTTTTGAGAGAAGAAAATATATCCGAATTTATTGGCCTGAAACTTGTGCTTTTATAGTTTGAGGGTTTTGAGAAAACAAAAAATGCATATCTCAGAAAATGCAGTAGATTTTACCAAAATGATGATGCAATCTGTAAAAGAGAGTCAATAGCATGAGATGGTAAGTACGTAGTACCAAATTCGGTAAGTTGATCGATAAAATCAGAAAGCTGAAAGGAAATACGATGGAGAGGGGATGGCATCATACCGTTCCTACAGTCCCATATATATAAACATGAAGCCTATAATCAGTTGCACAGGAAAATATATATGGGGCGATGAAGAGAAGGAAGCAGCTGTGAAAGTGGAAATGAAACTGGAACAATAATTTTTTCTGCTGAGGAAGTTATCGGTTTGTGAGCAAGTGCTGGATTTTTAGAAGTCTTCTAATGAATAAGCTTGGTTTATATAGATGGCACATCGAGCATCGGTTACAATTAACTCAGCAACCATTTAGTATGGTTTTGTAGTTGTGTTTTTAATATTGGTTTT